ACACAACCACACCGCACACACACATCACTGACTAACACACACACACACACCAACAATAATGCACACCAACACACACACCACACACAACACACATACATGCACGAACAAACATACTACAATGCACAATCAGACCACACCACCTCCTGCACACACACATCCACACCAACCACACACACACACACACCAACACCACACCACTACCACACACACACACACACACAACAACCACCAACTACCGACACACACACCACACACCACCACACAACACACTAGCTACACACGCACACTACTCAACAACACTCGACACACTACACACACAGTCGACCTAGCCACCACACATCACACACAAAATCGCACATCATCCCTCAGCACCAATGCACCACTACACATCCACACACACACATCAATCAGCCTAACCTCACAACCAACACACAAAACTACCACACATAGCCACCACCATACCAGCTGACACACACAGCAAAACACTCACATGCACACCACCACATCCCACTGCACCACAACATATTGCAAACACACATTCCACACATCAACCACATCACACCAACACACACTCACCAACATACAGCATCACACTCCAGACACACAACACCATGCTTACTACACCACCTATCAGTGCACAACACACAATAGCACTAACACATATCACACATGCGGTCTTGCAAACAACACACATTGGTCACATTAACATCTCATCACTGCACTATATTCGTTGCAATCATCGCAACACGACATACACAGTACTACATTTCCACTATCACACATGCACCACACACACACACACATACAACATACATGCAGCACACTAGCTACACACACACACTACACACAATCACAACACAACACATGATACCACACACACAACATCACACACTCCAAACACACTCACACTACACATCACATCCACCACACTACACACACTCACTCTATCTCTCTCTATTTACACACACACACAAATATATACATATACACAACACATACTCAAACACATACACTCAACTAATACACACACACATACTACATCACTAATACTACATCACACACACACACAATATATATACAAACACATCAACATACACCATCACTCATCAAACACTACACACACACATCATATAACACATAGCACACACACCAACAACACACATCACAACTACACATACATATGCTACACTACACTATAACGTGTATCAACACACTACACAATTACCAGCACATTACCATACACAATGCACTATCACATCGTGTCAAACCACGAGTCTCACATAATTATGGCACAACAAATACCTACTGATTCCTCTCACACTGACTCACAGCTATAGTCCATATCCACACATCATACGCTAGTGAACATAAGTCCGAGCTAATACAACGATGACAGCAATTCAAACATCACCACGGTCCCACACACAATCAAGAGGCACCATAGTCTCAGGACTCGCACACACAAATGACACTAAGCACATCATCTATACAATCACTTACACACACACGGCTGTCACACATATCCACACAGGCAGATGTGGACAGATCAAGGGGATGAAGAGAAGGAAACGAAAGGTTGGAGAAGATAAAGACCATTCAAAATATAGTTGAGGCGAGGGCTAACATTGCCCCACAGTGTGTGGGCCCCTTGTGTTGGACTGCCTTCTGCTGCTAAGCCGCCCCATGAACAATCGATACTCATGGGCATGATGATTTTGTGGGTGATGTGTGATGTGGTATGGACACACTATATCGTTAGCATGTGACATGCATACGCTCGCACATTGCAGAGCATCGAGTGTAAAATAGTGTGTGTGATGTGATGTGTGACAATGTATGTTAAATTCGCTATGGAATTAGATTAGATGTACCTAGAGATGATATGTGTAGAGAGCGCATAATCGCAGAAAGCTCGCTTGGTTGCTATGAATGTTAGTTATGACAGAGACTCCACTATAGTACATATATGGTATCCATATAACCCATTGGATCTGATGCGTTCTGAGTGCGTAGGCGATTCACTGAGGGGGCCATAGTGTGATATGTAGTTGTGAAGTGCGTGATTTAGGTGCAGTGTGTGGTGGTAGGCGCACTCTGCAAACTGGGACAGTGGTGTTGTTGTGTGTGTGGGATGGCTAGACTTGGTGTAGGTGGATGTTGGTGATGTGGTTAGCACATGCGATGACAAGACTCCATGCCTCCCCTTTGCAGTTGTTCTTTTTCTATTTTAAATGCTTGAACTTTTTTGCCATTTTCCAATGTCTATATTTGTCATTTGATTTGGCTTTATCCAGATGGTAATAGACAGTTTTTCCTTTGCAAAAGACTCATCTCAATAGGTAGTACATAACTCAGTGCACACTTATGACAACATGTTCACATCACCTACCCCTCAAGCCCAATTTTTTTCATGACATGATGGTCACATCATCTGGATCATAGGGGTTAATATCCCATCTATTTTAGTACTTACCATCTTTCTTGATCATAGCATTTATTA